TATAAAAAATGTAAATCAATTCTAAAATTCAAAAGTAAAAACTATTTTTAATTATAAATGTTTAAATACAAAATTATACTAATGGGCAAATTATATTTTTATATTAACCTGTTGTCCTCTATGGCTCTGACAGATATGTTTAGCATTGTAAATTAATGTGTTAATGAAAAATCCAAAAAGACACTCACATCTCTCAGTGGGAGCTGGAACAAATAAACACTGATGGGTCAAGAAAAGCAAAATAAAAACGTTTTTGTTGTGTCAGATTTGAACCCAGGCTACCCGCTTATAGGACTACAGCCCTTGACATTGGGCATGCGCACTAACCACTGTGCTAACTGGTGCCCCAAGCTACCATTTCCTTTTTTTTTAATAACTTGATGAGGGGCTGCTTGACTAACTTGGAGATAAATGATCCAACACAGATTAAAGACTTGCATGATATCATATTTTTATCCCCTAATTTGTGTTTTTAAATTGAGTTTTCTCAAATGGCCGATGTTGCCACGTGTGCAACAACCTGAGGTAGTCAAAGAAGGAATTAAAAGATGATCTGAACATGAAAGCTACTAATATATAGTTTTAGAAAATGTGGTTTCAACACAACTTTTATCTTTTATGACTGAAAATAACCTCTTTGAGAAATTCCAATCCGGTTTTAGAGCTTGTCACAGCACAGAGGCGGCCCTCCTCAAGGTAACCCATGACCTTCTTTTAGCAGCAGATAGAGGGGAGGGCACAATTTTAATTCTTTTAGATCTTAGCGCAGCTTTTGATACTGCTGATCACACAATTTTAATTGATCGTCTCAGAAAATGGGTTGGTTTAAAGGATACTCCACTTAGCCGGTTTTACTCTTATCTTTTAGAAAGAACCTTTGCGGTCACCATCAGTAACTATTCCTCCTCTACCTCTAACATTACCTGTGGTGTACCGCAAGGTTCGGTTTTAGGTCCCATTTTATTCTCCATTTATATGTTGCCTCTTGGCCAAATAATTGAACCCCACAAAGTCTCCTTTCACTGCTATGCAGACGACACACAGATATACCTTCCATGTTTTAGGAGGTTGTGTCTCTTGGTTCTAATTTAACCACTGAATATAAAACTGCTCTGTTTTATTCACCTTGGGGATCTTCCCATGTGAAATATCAGGATGTTTTTTTTATGTCTCTTATCTCGGCCTGCTCTCTCTAGTGAAGGAAAGATGTCCAAAGGCAGCGGTTCTGTGTGCAGGCTGATCAGTCGTCTGAGTCGAGATTGGATCAAGACAAGCCGTCTGCTGTCAACTCCTCATCGCGGGACGCTCTGGCCTCTGTGGCTCGGCTGGTGAAGCTCGGTCGCTGTAAGAAGGTTGTGGTGGTGGCCGGAGCAGGAATAAGTACCGCCAGTGGTATCCCAGACTTCAGGTCAGTTTCTCTTACACCCTCATCTTCATCGTTCACTTTTAACTTAAAGAGTGAAACCAAAAAAACTCAAAGAATGAAGAGTGAAGCTGGAAACATTTGATGAAATATAAACCAACGTACCCTAAAAGCACCTCATAAAGTGTGTACATCTTCATTTCCAGAACTCCAGGGACAGGTCTTTACGCCAACTTGGAGAAGTATAACATCCCCTACCCGGAGGCCGTTTTCAACATCGACTACTTCACCGACGACCCGCAGCCTTTCTTCTCTCTGGCCAAAGCTCTGTATCCCGGCAGCCACCGACCCAACTACATTCACTACTTCATCCGCATGCTTCACCACAAAGGCCTGCTGCTCCGCATGTACACACAGAACATCGACGGACTGGAGAAAAGTAAGAGAGATTCTTGAAACCAATTTAATGAAGAACCTTTAGCCCACAAACATACACAATGAAATGTCTAATATGATTACAAAAGCATATATATCACCTTTCTGCATATCTAATGCACTAGTAATGACACAGGCATTTCTGCAGACCCTATACAGGTTGATGTTAGACGTGACGGCAGATATCTTTCACAAATAAGTAAATGTAAAAAAACATTCATGAATGTATTGACAAATCCTCTCTAGCATGCTTTTTTCCCCTCTTACATCAATTGGCCGTTTGCTTCTCATCTTTTTTGTAGACAGACAGAAACTTGATTTAGAGACCTGAAAGAATACGTTTCCCGAATAAGCCCGAAATGTAACAATGACCCAGCTGTAATTTTTTTTAAAAAGTGATAAAACCCAAAATGTAATAACTGGATGGTAATGTAACAAGATGCTGAGCCCCAAACTTATAACAACGTTTTGCCTAAATATTTTTCTCCTCATAGTTTAATAATTTTATTAGATAGATACTTTATTGATCCCGAGGGAAATTCAAAGCATCCAGTAGCAGGTTACAAAGACATGACATGAAACATTTGTTACAAATTAACCACAAAACCGACCCCCCCCCCCATACATACATATTAACCTGAAAAAATGATTTAAAGAATCCCCCTAGATGAATCAAACTTAAACTGTGCAATTAAAAATAGACTTATACAAGAAATGTACATAACCCGTTCAGGGATAAAAATATATGTGACATTTAAACAAGAACCTAAAAACAGTTGAGGAAAAAAAATCTGTAATTAGACCTGAATATAAATAAAATTAAACTTCTGAAGTTGTGTTGTTTATATATGTACAGAAATGTTTAAAAAGAAGACAATTTAAATAATTACATAATAGAGTGAGTCAATAGGGCATATTGCTTCAGTGTAGTATCACTAAATGCCCCCTCTTCTCTCTCTTCTCAGTTTGTGGCATTCCTGATGAAAAACTAGTAGAAGCTCATGGTAGTTTCACCACAGCTTCCTGTCACCTGTGCTACACTGCGTACCCCGCTGAAGAGGCGAAGGCAAGTCTGACATTGTGTTCAAAAACCTTTCAAATTTAAATCTCTTCGCCTGATGTCATAGTAATACTTCTTTCTTTTTTTTTTTGCAGCATGCAATAATGAATGACAACGTTCCCATTTGCACTTTCTGCGCTGCAACAGTCAAACCTGATGTCGTGTTCTTCGGTGAGGATCTTCCTCAGAAGTATTTCCTGCACACTAAAGACTTCCCCCAAGCCGACCTCCTAATTATCATGGGCACATCTTTACAGGTAAATAGAAAATATGAGCAAATGTAAAGTCATATGTGTGTTCAGTTCTTTAAATGGGTTCAGAGGACAGGGTTGTGAGACGTTCTCTAAGCCATTTAAAATCATTGTTTTCAGATCGAGCCGTTTGCCAGCCTGGTGAATACCGTGCGCTCCACCGTGCCTCGTCTCCTCCTGAACCGACACGCCGTGGGTCCTTTTGAGAAGGTCCCTCTGCGCAGAGGAGACCACATGGAGCTGGGTGACCTGGAGGAGACGGTGCGGAGGTTTGCTGAAATGCTCGGCTGGAGTGATGAGATTGAAGAGCTGATGAGGAGTCAGGAGACGCCGGTGGGTTCCAGATACCAAAACTCAAGCCAGATCATTATTTTTAAAGATTCTTTATTTTTTTGGCTTTATTGGAGAGAAAGGAGAGTGGATAGATCGGAAATCAGGGAGAAAGAGAGTAGGGAATGACATGCGGGAAATATATTTGCATTGAGAAACAAACTCTCTTTACAAGAGTCCTAGCAAAGACAGAAGCATAAACATTTGAACAGAAATATGATAAGTACTTCACTGATGTAGCTTTGCACTCCTTTATTATCGTCAGACTCACAACAATCAAAGTTGATGCAGCAGGAGCAGAAATTACGTCTTCTTTTTTTTAAAATTCCATTTTCATCATACTTGTTAAATCTTTGCGTTTAATTAGCACTAAGTAGCTCAATCCCCCCTGATTGTGTGTCATGCATTTTAACAGCAGTATACCCGGTCACTCATTGAATCAGTCCTCACATTTAACATTATATCCTGGTACGACTTTGTCACCGACAAATGCAAGAAAAAACTAACTGGTGCCAAAAATCACCGGCACCACCCAGATCCAACTGTCAGAACTTTGCATGTGAGCAGCAGAAAGGAAAGCAGTCTGCGTCACTCAGGACCTTCACCACTCGTTTCAGCTGCTCCCCGTCAGGCAGTCATTTTAAAAAAAGAAAACGTACAGAAACTCTTTTATTCCCACTGCAATACGTATTTTTAAGCAAGGATAGATAAGCAATGTTTTTTTTAAACGCTGTGCATGTGTTTTTACCTATTTAGAGTACTTTTAGCTTAATGTGAGTTTTAGTGCGAATGTTTGTATGTTTTCATGTTGAGCCTCAACAAAAGGTAATTTTCTGTCACAATGTGATAGACAGTTAAGTTTTTTGAATCTTGAATCTACAGGCAGCTAACATGGCTTCAAGCTCTCGGCACCACAGCTATCTCTGGAGCCACGACAGGCTATATACAACTTCACACTTGGAGTTGGACGTTCCCTTTTAAATTTCTCTTTTTGCTGACTGTGCATTTCAATCCCTGCAGAGCATCCATCCACTTATCAGCAGCTCTCCGTCAGTGACTGTGCAGACACCTCTGCAGAGCCGAGGAGCTCCAGTGGAGACGAGCAGGTCCAGACTGGGAGCTCAGAGAGCGGCCAGCAGCGGCAGTGATGACACAGATTCAGAGACAGACAGCAAGAGCTCCGTATCATCCAGCCGGAGCAACTGATACCCAAAGTTTCATCTCTCGCTCATTCACATCGACTGTTCTACTATGCACTCCTCCTGAGTCATGTTCATGCTAAGTTCATTTATGAACCCAAAGCTCCTGTAAAATACAATTTATCAAGGTATTTAAAGCACTTACTATAGAGGGGAGGGTCCATGCAGAACACTACTAAATAATGACGAGCCCTGCAACAAATGTTTGATATTTAATGTCCCACGTCTGTCAAACTTGTTCTTTTTGTTTTTAGATAATCACAACTCCGTGTTTTAAACGGTATTTAATAAAAGTAATTCTGTAATTCTCTACATTTCTTTTCACTTTTTGTTCATGTACTGGTTTGAAAAAAAGACAACTGTACTTACATGCATTTTATTAACATTTCAGTAGAGGCCTCATTAGATAAACAAGTTGTGTGTTTATATACAGTTTGTCAAAAAAAAAAAAAGTATTTGATGAATGATTGGGGGAAAAAGAAGGCATTCACACAGATAAGGTAAAATCAACAAATTTACAGATGCATGACAAATAAAAAGGGATAAACCTAAAGACAACAACTGGCAGATTAACTGAATGTTTTGTTGGCCTTTAAATTGTTCCAAAGTTGTTCCAGGTGTGTGGTGATACAACACCTCAGTAAGACACTTGTGCTGTTTCTTTCCATTTTAATTTATAACCCATCTGTATATGTGACCTACTCATTGCTGGTAACGTAAATATTTTGATTTGTCACAGCAAACCCCCAGGAATCAAGTTTAGTTAAAAGAAGTCCAGATAATGTCGATCTTTTTCACCACTGATCTGGATTATGTGGGTGTGAGCAGTAGTGCTGACACGTCTGCTTATGGTGATTCACTATTGAACATGTTAACTGTCACAGATTCTTTAATGAACATGTTCTCTGCTTAAAGCCATATTCAGTTTTTCTAGACCATAATAAAAACAAAAACATTAAACCAACATGACACATTTTTCAGAGTAAGGAAACTTGTGGATTCATTAAAAAAAAAAAAAGACATTCCAGAGAACTGATTTCATGCAGATTTGGCAAAAAGGAACACGATTTAGAAAACAATCATTGCAGCTTTACACATTTCTTTTTGTCACAAATCAAAAATAGAAATAGTCATAGAATTCCTCAACCATGCAGTCCACACTAAAGAGGCCTCATGATTTTAAAACCTAGACCTAGACTTTCAGTTTACAGTGATTTCCTGGTGTGTTTATAATGTGCACTTCATTATTACGAAAAAACAATTAGTGAATATAAGAAACAATAAGAGCATAAATAAGAAAAACGTTTGTGAAAAGCAAAAAGCACAAAGGAATGATTATTCAGATTCACTTACACCATAACAACAGCGCTTTCAATGTGATACACAAGATCCAGCACAACTTATATTTTTAACTATTTTCTTAACTTAACTATGGAAGCAATAAAATAAACAGTGAAGGTGCATTATGATGTCACTGCGGTGTCTCTCTCTTTAAGAGTGGCTTTGGGCTACGGCCAGGACTTTGTGGTTTCCTCTAACATGATGAGTTGTGTCCCAGTTCAGACCCAGATCATCAGAAGGCTGAATAATCAGAACAGCTTAACCTTTGTATGAGGCGTAGAACAAGCATCCTGCTTTGTCTCACACTGCTGAGTTGTTAAAGAGTGTGTTTGAGTGATCGTGATTTGAACTACTTATTTTGAAAATTGCATTCAGGGAGTAATCAGCAACTGGAAAATGTATAAATGTTACGCTACCAAAGCACATAATCATCTACACACCGTAGGTTGTAATATATGAGGCAGAAATAAATTTGAATATAAAGACACACGTTCAGCTCCAAAAGGACCAGGTTCTTGAGATGGAACACAGTTTTTAGGTGTTTGAGGGCCCTGGTGAGCTCACTCTGCCTGGATGTTCAGTGCGCTAGTCAGAGTCTAATCCTGAGTCTCCAGCGTTCGGATCACAGAGAGTTTCCTCAAGAGGTGCTAACGTCCCGTCGGGTCTGACCCCCATCGGCCGGATCATGTTCTGCCTGTTGACACACACACACAAATCATTCAGGGATATCCAGTAGTTGCATAGGATGGTTGTAAATGACATTCCCACTAAAGGAGCAATATGTAAGATCTAGCTATTGAATTAAATCACAAAGTGACATCACTACATCATCATCAGACATTAAAGGCTTAATATGTGATTTTTCACACTTAAATGTAGAAATCAAGTATCTCCTCTGAAAATAACTCTGTGAGTCATGACTGTCTACAATGGGTGTAACACTTGAGTCCCACTGTCTGTGATGTTTTCAGAGTCCTATCTTCACTTTGCAGCATGAGTTGTTTTGGTTTCATGCTGGTGCTCAAAGGCGACATCTGCATTATGAAGCCTTTAAGGCCTAAAAAGCATTTTTCTAATAAACTCCACGAGCAGAAAGGTCGTGAAACTAGGATCAATATTGGAGATGCTTTTGAAAAAAATGTTGAGAGGTTAAAGTGCAGAAACCGTCGCAGAGCTGGATAAACACTGAAGCTTCTGTGTCGACGACCGGGCAACCCGAGTGCGCAACCCCAGGGAGGAGACAACTCTTAACAAGGTTTTTGAATTTGGACTGCAGTACCACTTTTAAATGCTACGTGTCAGAGTTACATACTGCTCCTTTAAAATGTTTAAGTAAATGTGTGGATGAATCCGTTCAGGGCTTTTCTTATGACGTCTCTCTTGTACATCTTCACTCTCTTACATTCAGAGCTCAAGGACCCTCAATCCACAACCCGTCAGGCCATTCCCCCCCCCCTCTCTGCCCTCCTCCCCTGTCCTGTGGCAGTTTAATTACAGGCTCAGCGCTCGGACTAAGCTCCTCAAAGCTTACGGCTGCCCCTTCATCCTTAATCCAATTATACCTGCACTGAGTGTCACCACTCCCTCTGAGATTATTCATCAAGAGAATTATCCATCAGATTATAAAAAAGGTCAAATAAAAATGACCATGTAATGCACACTGATTTCTGCAATTACATTACTCTCACTGGGGAACACTACAGGTAATACGGTCTTGAAAAGGAGACTAGTGGTGTTTAAAAAACTACAAATATTACAGAATACATATCAAAACATTGACTTTGACATGTATGTGAAGTCACCTTTAGAACGGCCGCAGCAGTCTCTGGTCAAAGTCAGCAGATACAATGAAGGCTAACAAACAATAACATGTAACATCACGTCTCCCAATTAGAGCAACATATACTCATCCTTTTCTCCTCATGATGGAGGACTAGGGGTGTTGGGGTGGGGTGCAGAATATGTGCTAATTGGCGGAGCAGTTAAGCAGTTAGTGGAGCACATTCTTGCTAGGCTCTGACTGATCTCCTTAGAGGCAGCACTCCACCATCATCACATCTCTTTTACTGAAGAAGAGAATCTTCTTCTTCTTTTGGGCACACGTGCCTCATTACAGCTCAACAATGACGAGGTCAGCTTTCTTATGTCTCCACATTTGTTCAGCCGCCTATCCTCCTCCTCCTTATTCACGTTCCACCAGAATTGCTTTATCTAGTTTGGTCTCAGTCAGTTCCCCGTCTGAACCAGCGGCAGACTCCTCAGAATGAAAATAATAAAGTCAGGACATGTTATTAAAAAAGCTGAATGTGACACATAAAAGAATTGGGACTGTGTGCCAATTAGGTGATAATTAAAGGATAGGGGGGGTGATGATGCTGCAGCAGCGGCAGCGTGCTGGCAGCCTCTGTTTACTCCAGCTGAATGCTGCGGCATGCTGACGTCTAAAGCCTAATAGAGGCTTCAGCTAACAGGAAGAAATTCTTCCTTTAATAAGTCAGTTGGCAGGGAGCATCTCACCGGTTACCTTTGTGCACGTCGTGCTCAGGCTAACATTAACCTGCGCTCACTAAAGAAAGGTCAAAACAAATACAGAGGGCTCTTCATGGAGGGGAAAATAAATAAGTCATAATTTGAAGCAGGGACGCAGACGGAAAAAGATAATCATCTTAGTCCAGCCTTTACAAAAAGTAAACAAATCATACTTGTGAAAGGCCTCTGTGGCACCGTGTATTATCGACAGTAGAGACAACAAATCTGAGAAACTTTTGTAGGTTTAAAAGTCAGAATGACTTAAAAAAATCTGTTGATTATGGATCAAAGAATCACTTAGGACGTGCACAAACTTGAATGACATTTGGTGGCCAGTCAGACCCAGGCACATAAATCAGTTTTGCGTAGATCTACAATTCTACAATTCACTGAGCAGACGCTTTTATCCAAAGCGACGTACATCAGAGAGTAAGAACAACACAAGCAAGGATCTAGAAAAAAGGGAACAATGTCAGTAAGAGCAAACGATCAGCTTTGAGTCTGATTGGACACACAGGTGCTGACAGGAAGTGACCAGAGGCAAAGCACAACATTGAGGGCAGTTCTTGAGAGCTCTAATCAGTATAGAAACCATCTTATAAGTCGTCGTTATCAAACAAAAACCATCGTCATTACCATCATCATCATCAATAATATGGAGACCATCATCATTCATCAGATCTAAATATTTTTCTGAAATCCTTCCATCCTGTCTTTATGCAGGTAAGGATCCTGATGCAGACCTCCTCCAAACCAAGGGGATTAAGGGCTGACCATGTTGGTACACATGCTACATGCTGCATCTAATTTCACGTCATCTCTATTGTCATCTATCGAAATAAACGTTCCTGATGAAAACCCCTTTTTAAGATTTATTTTGGGGCTTTTTGTGCCTTTAATGGAGAGATAGGACAGAGGATAGAGCTGGAAATCAGGGAGAGAGAGAGAGTGGAGGAACGACATGCAGGAAATGAGCCACAGGCTGGATTTGAACCTGGGCCGCCCGCTTGGAGGACCATGGCCACTAACCACTGCGCCACCAGCACAATGATAGTAGAATTACTTAACAGATCCAATGATTTCATAGTTCTAGAAATGCTCTTGTATTGTTCAGTTTATCTTACCTTGATAACTCTTCAAACATATTGAACAGTATTTGTGCTTCATACTCCTTCTGCTCCTCCGACATCTCTTCGATGGGGTTCGGCATTGGCTCCTCGACGTGACCGGTGATGGGGTTGATGCTGGAACGAGCAGATGATGATGGATTAAAACATCATCATATATACTGATGTAATGAGCAAGGCCACCTCAGACTGTCTTATTAAAGGCTTTCTATGTAATTTTTCACACTTAAATGTAGAAATCAAGTATCTCCTCTGAAAATAACTCTGAGTCATGACTGTCTACAATGGGTGTAACACCCGAGTCCCACTGTCTGTGATGCTTTCAGAGTCCTATCTTCACTTTGTTTACATCGCCTGGACGGCCGGCTGACTCCTCCCCTCGTGTATAAAAGTTGTTTAATTGAGGGACTAGAGAAAAGAAGAATAACATACTGTACTCACTGCTTAACTGTGTTTCTAGATCACGCTCATTTCAGGTAAATTTACATGCAGTGTGAAGATACCAGCATAATAAAGATCACTAGCATTAGCATGCTAACACAACAATGCAGCGCGAGTTGTTTTGGTTTCATGCAAAAAAAAAAAATCGCATATAAAGCCTTTAAGCTTTGTTAAGCGCACTCACAAAGGTTTTGCAGTTTTGTACTCCTCCGTATCGGAGTCTTCATCCTCAGAGTACTGAGTCTCTCCCCTCCCTCCTGCAAGAAGTCCTCGAGCCACCAGGAGTCCTGCTGCGTTGCCGTATCCTGTGTACTTCAACAGGTTGTCCACTGTAAAACCACACCACAGATACAACAAGGATGACCCAGCTGTAGCAACGCAGCAATCACACATCCAGATGTGCAACACTTTCCACTCTCAAATACAACACTGCATCTCCCCCACTCACCACTTTCTTTACACAGGACAAAGAGAAACTCTGCCGCCATCTGCTTCACTCCCATGTCCACGTGTGTCATAAGGCGAACCAGCTTATTTCGAACGGCGCTGCCAATCTCTGGTCTGATCATCACATCTTTCAACGGGGGAAGCACCTGAGGAAGAGCAAATTATTCAGATTCTAGATTCATGTTTTTTTTCTGGTTGATGAAGTACTAGTCGCTGGCTGAGAAACACACAGCGATCTACTTTCTACTACTAACCAACACGCAGTCTGAGATCCTCTGGCAGAGCCCTACTGGCTGTTCCAGAGTCCGGACTAAAAACTAAAGGGGGACGGGGCCTTTGCTGTCAGAGCCCCCAGACTTTGGAACAGCCTGCCAGAGGAGATCAGACTTGCAGATTCAGTCCCTTGTTTTACATCCCTACTCAAGACATTGTTTTATAAAAAGGCTTTTACTCTGGGATTTTGGTAATTGTTCTTATTTTTATTTTATTAGTCTGATTTTGTTTTCTGCTTGTTTACTCTCTGCCTGTTGCTTTAATTGTCTCTCTGCTTTTATTTTCTGTTGTAAAGCACTTTGTTACTTGTATAGAAAAGTGCTATACAAATGAAGTATTACAAATATTACAAAGTATTACTTCATAGCTTTAAGATTCAGTTTATTTCAGTTCAGTTTAATTTAGGTTCACAGTGAAAATGCTGCATGCTTCATATAAATATATATAAATATATGTACCTGAGCTTTGATATATCTGCGGATCTCCCTGTGGTGTCTGGATCCTTCAGTCAAAAGGCTGAGCACCGGAGTCAAACCCTCTTTGTAGTTGGAGCCCTGCTTGGAGTGACACAAGCCAACAGCACTTCACAAGCTGGAACAGCAGCTGGATTTTAATCAGTAGTAATCACACATGAGCGTTATAAGGTTTTACTGTGTGAAGGCTACCAGGTCAAGCAGCTGGGATTTTTATGGATGTGAGTTTGAGATGAACTAACAACACATGAACAGATATATCTGTGAATCATCACTTCTCCATGTTGATAATTCTTCAGGTCGACTTTGTGCAGGCTGCAGGAGAACTTTACCTTGTCGATCCTCTTCTCCATGAAGTCGAGTAACACCTGGACTGCATCCATGTTTTTTCCTCCATACTTCTCTTGTCCTCCCTGGATAGGAAGGTCAATCAGCACGTCAAGGCAGGACACCGGAAGATTGTTCAGCAAGTTGACAGAATGGCTAGAGAGAAAAAAAAAAGTTTTATTATTACCCGTCAGTGTAACTGTGGAAGTCATTTTCGGACTACTACATTGTATTTAATACAAATACAAAGTCAGCCTACTATCATTTGAAGAATATATCAAGAATCAGAGGACTTATGTCCCAGCAGGATCTGGAAAAACTTGTCCATTTATCTTCAGTCGTCTTGATTACTGCAACAGTGTCTTTACAGGTCCACCTAAAAAAATCAGTCAGACAACTGCAGCTGATCCAGAACGCTGCTGCTAGAGTCCTCACCAAAACCAAGAAAATGGATCACATCAGTCCAGTTCTGACGTCCTTACACTGGCTCCCAGTCTGTCAGAGAATAGACTTTAAAATCCTGTTGCTGGTTTATAAAGCGCTGAATGGTTTAGGGCCAAAATATATTAGTGACCTCCTGATTAAAGGGATACTTCACCCGTTGAAACATGAGTCTGTACTGACATTGGGTCATATATGTAGAAATGTGAAATACATTTTGAAGTTGGTGCCTTCTTGACCGAGAAAAGACAGAAAGTGTCTTTTTGGCTCATGTGGATGACAGACACCAAATCCCAGAATGCACAGCACCGCAGGCCACTCCCACTAAGGTCAGGTTTACAGACATATTTACTTCAACACATGAGGCCGTTTTCTCAACTGATTCCGAGATTTATTCCAGAAGGAATTGGTATCTTGTAAATTCCTGTCAGAAAACAGACTCTATGTCTGTGTTATGTGTCACTGGAAGCTCCTTTTCAGACTTACAAATACAAAGATTTCTCATCTCAGGGGAAAATGAGGGCGGGATGCACGACCATTCAAAAATACTACCAGGTTTCTAATGATGCAAACATTAATGCAATGCACAAAATAGTGAAGTATCCCTTTAATTACGAACCATCCAGACCGCTCAGGTCATCTGGGACAGGTGTGCTCTCTGTCCCCAGAGTCAGAACCAAACACCAAGAAGCAGCGTTCAGTTTCTATGCTCCCTATATCTGGAACAAAGGTGCAGGTCTGCTGACGCTCCAAAGAAATGTGGCTAAAGTAGAGCTTTATTTACAATAACACTGAAGTCTGCAATAGTGACCGACTGGTCATGAAGTCTCACATTTAAGACTAAGACTTGGCCTAAGACTTTGGTGTTAAATCAGGATGCATGGATAAAAAAACAGCAGGTTCAGTAACATTCACGGCAAGCAAGTGGGCGGTGGTGATAACCTTTATATCCAGGGACCAGTAAGCAACCAGTGACATCTTTGTGCACATAATGAAATGCTTGATTATATTTTCTGCTCCCCCTTATGTTCTGTTTTCCACTTCCATTTCTGGGTTTATCAAACAACATGTAGTATCGATATAAAGTACATGTATGCTTTTTGCCTCATTAGACCGTGGCCTCCCCATCTGACCGGGAAAACTCCAAGCTTGGAGAGTCATGTGTGCACACGAAAAGCAAGAAGATTTCAGGGGGACGACCTGTCTGAAATTTTCTAAAAAAAAAACTTCAGGAGTGTGTGATGTGTGAAGAGCAGATTTTGTGAATGAAAGCTATGATTTCTCACCTGTGTGCTTCCTCGGTTTTCTCCTCAGTTTCAGTCTTCTGCATCAACAGATGACGCAGGATGGCAACTATGAGTCGGAACTGGTGGTCATCCTCCTGTCAAATAAGGGATGAAAATGAATGAATGTGAATGAAAGAAAATGAATGTCTAGTACAACAAAAGCAAAGAAAAAACACAAAAGGTGTTTATAAAGACTTTCAACACAACTGATATTTGGTTTCCACAGTTATTGTCGAGCCTGCTTTGCCCTTTGAGTGCCACACAGGCCACACAGCTTATTACACAATACATGTGTGTGTCTGGGAGTGTGTGGTTTGATTTGTACTCTGTGTTTTTTTCTTCCTGATAAGAGTACACACACCACACACACACACACCACACACACACACACACACACACACACACACACACACACACACACACACACACACACACACACACACACACACACACACACACACACACACACACACACACACACACACACACACACACACACACACACAGTTTGAGCATTAACCCAATGTTATCTTGAATTGAAATGTTTGAATCAAGAAGTTTAGTAGAAGGAAACTCCTGAGGTCAGTGCAGTTTTCTGAATTATTATTTTGAATTAAAGGGAAACTTCACCCATTTGCAGTAATGTTTGTATCATTAGAAACCTGGTAGTATTTTTGAATGGTCGTGCATCCCGCCCTCATTTTCCCCTGAGATGAGAAATCTTTGTATTTCTGAGTCTGAAAAGGAGCTTCCTCCTTTTCTGAATCAGTTGAGGAAACGGTCTCATGTGTTGAAGTAAATATGTCTGTAAATGTTTTTTATTTCTATATTTCTCCTGCTATATTGTATATTTTGGAGAAACTGTAACGACCGAATTTCCCTCTGGGATTAATAAAGTATTTCTGATTCTGAAATAGAGGACCTTAGTGGGAGTTGCCTGTGGTGCTGTGCATTCTGGGATTTGGTGTCTTTCATCCACATGAGCCAAAAAGACACTTTCTGTCTTTTCTCAGCCAAGAAGGCACCAACTTCAAAATGTATTTCACATTTCTACATATATGACCCAATGTCAATACAGATTCATGTTTCAACGGGTGAAGTATCCCTTTAAGTGTCTTCATAGAAAAGAAAACTGTTTTAGTGATGATATGTAATTAGGCTTTTGTTGGCGTCAGGTGAATCTTTAGTCTCTAATCTGCGACCCAGTCAGAAATATTTTGTGTGTGGAGATGCATTAATGACCTGCTGTTACACCTCAGTACAAGAATTACAACTGGGTAAACTTTACTGAAACAAGTTACACTCTTAAAAGACTTACGCAAGACACTTACCTCACCACGAGTGTAAGACAGCGTGAGGTTGAACAAGGCCTTGAGTGCTTCCATTGCTCGATCGTTGTCTTCTGCAGGCATGCACAGGGACTGCGGGTCGGGAGGGGCCGCTTCATAGGGACCAACCCAGCGCACTTCCAAGGTGTGCTCCAGCACCTCGGTCAGGAGTTTCACAGCATCCCATTCTTTCTTTAACACCCCTCTCAAATCCGCTCTCAGGGCAGACAGCAGGAAAAGAAGGCGCAGTGTGAACAGGCCGACCTCGTGGCTCCATGTGCCGGCTGTACGCAGGTTATTACAAAGACCCTGAGCCAGCTCCACCTCTACGCTGACCTGCTGAGCCGCGGGACTGTTGAAAACCACATTGCATAGGCACTTCAACGCCTCCACAACCACCCTCTCCTCCTCGTCTGACCGGCTGTCTCCCTGAGAGTTCTTTTGGTTGTCACCTGCTTCCTCTCCGGTCTGCAGCTTCGCCATCCGCCCCAGGATCAGCATGCCCTCCCTGGTGGCGACAGGCGAGAGGACGTGCTTGTCTCTGGACAAGATGCGGAGCGTCTCTAGACATGTTTTCTGACAGCTGGGCCGCACCTGCCTCCCGAGTACGGTCAACACACTCTGACACAGCTTCTGAAAATGACGCAGATTGAGAAGATTATAACATCACTGTCATAACTTCTAATATCAAACTACTCAAGATATACTATACTCACACTGCGCAGGGTTTCTTCCCTTTGTTCAAATTTGAAGGTGAGGCTGTTCTGAAAAGAAAAAGATGGCCATACATTTCAAAGGCATATTTATTATGTTTTATAACAAATATATTTTACTGAGACCTTCCTGATTTTGCTAATGTTTGCTAATGGGTCAGTGACGTATAAGGATTTTCATCTGGCCAATTTTAAAATACAAAACATATGAATATTTATTTAACATAAAAATATTGTGTACACATTGTACCCAGCCTTTTTAATTAAAAAATGTTCAGTACACATTCAGCACCAACTGAAAAAGACTCTGTGACACGCTTGTTATAAGCGACTTTGGGCTTGTTTTTCTGTAAAGTCGCTTGCAAATATCTTCAGTCGTGGGTTGCGGGTTTTTGGGCTCGTTTTCTAAAGTGCAGTTGTTTGTTTGGGCTTTGCTCCCTGTATGAACCTCTACTGATTCACTCCCAACTCTCCACAATAAAGCCAAACACGATCGATAGTTAGTTTGTCCTTTTCCAGGATCCGTCCACCTTTAAGAAAAAGCTAAAGACCCAGCTCTTTCATGAATACCTACTAACTTAATGATGATGGTCTCCATATTATTGATGATGATGGTAATGACGATGGTTTTTGTTTGATAACGACGACTTATAAGATGGTTTCTATACTGATTAGAGCTCTCAAGAACTGCCCTCAATGTTGTGCTTTGCCTCTGGTCACTTCCTGTCAGCACCTGTGTGTCCAATCAGACTCAAAGCTGATCGTTTGCTCTTACTGACATTGTTCCCTTTTTTCTAGATCCTTGCTTGTGTTGTTCTTACTCTCTGATGTACGTCGCTTTGGAGAAAAGCGTCTGCTAAGTGATTTGTAGAACCCCGTTTCCTTGGTTCTCTCTCTCTCACACACACACACACACACACACACACACACACACACACACACACACACACACACACCACACACACACACACACACACACACACACACACACACACACACACACACACACACACACACACACACACACACACACACACACACACACACACACACACACACCCGATTTATTTGAGGAGCCAGGTCGCTTGTTTTGGGCTTGTTTGCATAGAGCTGGCTGCTTGTTTCTATAGAGCTGGTTGCTTGTTTCTATAGAGCTGGTTGCTTGTTTGCTTGTTTATAGAGCTGGTTGCTTGTTTCTATAGAGCTGGTTGCTTGTTTCTATAGAGCTGGTTGCTTGTTTCTATAGAGCTGGTTGCTTGTTTCCATAGAGCTGGTTGCTTGGTTTCTATAGAGCTGGTTGCTTGTTTTCATAGAGCTGGTTGCTTGTTTGCATAGAGCTGGTTGCTTGTTTGCATAGAGCTGGTTGCTTGTTTGCATAGAGCTGGTTGCTTGTTTCCATAGAGCTGGTTGCTGTTTCTATAGAGCTGGTTGCTTGTTTCTATAGAGCTGGTTGCTTGTTTCTATAGAGCTGGTTGCTTGTTTCTATAGAGCTGGTTGCTTGTTTCTATAGAGCTGGTTGCTTGTTTCCATAGAGCTGGTTGCTTGTTTCATAGAGCTGGTTGCTTGTTTCATAGAGCTGGTTGCTTGTTTCTATAGAGCTGGTTGCTTGTTTCCATAGAGCTGGTTGCTTGTTTCCATAGAGCTGGTTGCTTGTTTCTATAGAGCTGGTTGCTTGTTTCTATAGAGCTGGTTGCTTGTTTCTATAGAGCTGGTTGCTTGTTTGCATAGAGCTGGTTGCTTGTTTCCATAGAGCTGGTTGCTTGTTTCTATAGAGCTGGTTGCTTGTTTCTATAGAGCTGGTTGCTTGTTTCTATAGAGCTGGTTGCTTGTTTCCATAGAGCTGGTTGCTTGTTTCTATAGAGCTGGTTGCTTGTTTCTATAGAGCTGGTTGCTTGTTTCTATAGAGCTGGTTGCTTGTTTGCATAGAGCTGGTTGCTTGTTTCTATAGAGCTGGTTGCTTGTTTCCATAGAGCTGGTTGCTTGTTTCCATAGAGCTGGTTGCTTGTTTCCATAGAGCTGGTTGCGTGTATCTGGCAACACTGATGCAGGGGGCCCCCAAATGACCTTTGGCCTTGGGGGCCCCCAAATGACTAAATCCGCCGCTGCTCACATGAATTTTCATATAATGGACAAAGTTTGTTTGGATATTATTTTTAAATATGACTAAAAATCACATTTGAACATGATGTTTAGACACATTAAATGGAAGAACAATTAAAATAATAAGTTAGAGTGAGTTCATACCTGGAAGAGGAGCTGTGGAGAGTTTTTATTAATTTAAATATTTGTTTTGTTATTAACTGTAATACACAAAGTGACTGTACGTGGAATAACAGGAAACAAGAATTAACCACAACACGTTGGTAATATTAACAATATCTCAAACTCATACATGACTCATTCATGCACATTTGTTGAGAAACGTTTTACATTTCTTATTTAATATCATATGACACAGTTTACGTTTTAACCCAACAGGCTGTTAGCTCGAAGCTAGCTGTTAGCTCGAAGCTAGCTGTTAGCTCGCCGGCTAAACGTTTGTTTTGATGTTAAACAAAATAAATAACCGCGGCTCACCTCTCGATTATACTGCAGAAGAAGCTTCTCGCTTTCCTCCTCGTCGGCCGTGTTAAGCTGCGACAGGATGCTATCTAGATCCATGGTGGCTTTAGGGATGGTGAGCTCGGTTTTTGACGTGACCCGGTTTGTGTTGTGACGCTAGCTCATCAGCTAGCTGCTAATGCTAATGCTAGGTTAGCCGCTGTCAACACGGAAACGCCCCAGGTGGTCAGCTGGTCAGGTGGTCAGCTGGTCAGGTGGTCAGCTGGTCAGGTGGTCAGCTGGGTCTCTCCATCAGCTGTAACCACACACTGTAAATAATAACCTGTTATTCACTATAAAACACAAGTTGTTAAACGCAACAATCAACAGACATCAAAAGTTATTTAATGTTTAAAAGGTCTTAAATGATTTATTATGAAATGATTAATTAATGAGTGCTGCAGGTGAAGGTCTGTAACAACAAAATGTTTACTTCAGATAAATAATGTAAATAAAAGGAAAAGTATAGAGAGACGTCTCATTAAATAAATACAAAACAGCAAAATGCACAAAACACTAAAAAAATAAAGTGTCTGTTAGGAAAAGTGTTTGTTCCTTTCTGATTTATCTGCAATGTGCAAAAGAAGACTATTTAAAAAATTTAGATTTATACACAATTCAATTCAAAAAACTTTATTTGTCACACAGAGCAGTAAATTAACAACAGTGCAAGTAGACGAAACATTTTAACCTGAATATAAAGTGTCAATTTAAATACAACTTAAAGCTTAAACTTAACTTAAAAAATACAAAATATAAAAAGAGTAGATATAATAATAATAATAATAATAATAATAATAATAATAATAATGCATTTAATTTGTAAAGCACTTTACATTTTTGCAAAAAAAAATCTCAAAGTGCTACAGGAAGAAAAAATAGAAATAAAAACCAATTAAATCAACTAAGCAACTTCAGAAACTAAAAGCACAGGCAGAAGGCTTTGTTAAAAAGGTTTTTAAGGCCCTTTTAAAAGTGTCAGCAGACTGTGGAGCCCTCAGCTGCTCGGGGAGAGCGTTCCACAGACTGTGGAGCAGAGGAGCAGAAGGCCCGGTCACCCATGGTGTGGAGTTTAGTCCTGGAGGGATGAAGGAGGTTGGTGTTTCCAGAGAGGAGGCTTCGTGTGGACAGTGATCGGACTAATAGATGTAAACAGAACTATGTGCAGTAAACGAGAAATAAATATATATACAGAGCTATCATCATTTTTAACGTCAATAACTGGTATCATGATTTGGTGCCTCGCAAAAGTATTTACAGCCCGATAACATTTTTCCATATTGCAGGGTTACAACATTGAAAACAAGTGTTCTGTAGTCGAGAATTGTCCCGTATTTAGCTCCACTCATGCTGTTCTCAATCCGGACCACTTCCCAGTACAATGATGATGAAAAAAACACCACAAACTTGATACTGCCATATCTGTCTTTGACTGTGGAGGGGGAGCTGAATCACACCAAGACCAACAAGTGCAATTTATTTCATCATTGTTCTGGGAAAGTGGTCAGGAATTGTCATGGAATAAGGGACAGGTGTATTTCTATTAAAACTCTTCTACTTAACTAGTTATGCTACTTCTTGTGCAGTATGAAGGACGTTGCTTACATCTGATTAGTGTTGGGTTTTACATAGAATAATTCATATACCCTCAAAGGTTTTTATTTTATTATACAATCAATTTTTTTTTAAGGTTTGGATACAGTGTAAAATATTATAGCAACAGAATTTGATCAAAGCAAAACATTGAAATTCCACAACAACACATGAAACAGAAATGATAACTGTTGGAAAATCATATCGCCATTTTGAAATTGTTGCCAGCAACACTTTAAAAACATTTCTGGACAGGGTCATGTTTTTCCACCACCTCCTTTAAAAACACTGAGGCGATCAGTTCTGTGATTTTTATTGATGTGGATGAGGAATCGATGCAGCATAGTATCGTGATATATTGTGGGGCGATATCATATCAACTCATGGCCGGCAAGTATCGATATTTTTATTATGTTAATAGCAAATATGCTTTTAAATTTTTAATTGCTAGGGGGTTGCACAATTCATTTTTGAAAAAGTTGCATTATTAAAATGACTACAGTTGTTCAGGCGTCCATACATGCTCACAAGTGTTACAACTAAAATACCAACAGTTGAGATCGTGAGGTATTTACAGGGTTTTACTTTAATCACAGTGTTGGTCAGTCTGTGGGCTTGACTCCCCTTGTGTAGAAATAAAATTAGAATTTATTCTTCTTTGACAAAACAGATTTAGCAATTTATTGTATCGCAATTCTCAGCATATCACAAAATGTTTAAAATCGCAATCATATCGTATTTTGACTCAAGTTGACATTTTATCGTGGGGCCTCTGGTTTTTATTCACATTTCACACACAGAACCCATTTTTAGAAAGAGAGAGCAGAATGAACTGGTTGTAGTCATTTACATATATTTGTTTTTTTAATTAAAAATCATAACCGATATATCCTTACATGAACATGCTATATACATAAAGCACTAACCTGTTTGTTTTGGTTATAAGGCAGTAGTTATTTTGACCACTCTATAATCTGTGTGTTGTTGATCTGTCAGCACACACACAGCTGACACAGATATCCTGGACAACCACGATCAGCAATCTCCTTCTGAAATCTCCAGCGGATATTGATATTGACACTCAGGTCAGGTGATTAAATCGCATTAGTGGCTTCTCATTTTATCATCTTTTCTGTTAACATGGTTTCTGTATTCAAAGAGTTACTTGTGAATCCTGCAGGATTTTGTGGAGACAACACAGAGGATCTATGTTCCAATAAACACAAACCTCAGCAGGGGTCAGAGGTCAAAGGTTACGGGACTGAGGTGCAATGACCCCTGCACAGCATGACACTCTCTCTATAGAAATGTAATTCTTTCTGCAGTGTGAGCCCTGTGTTACCAGCCCAACCCCCCACTGTGCAGTCACCACACGGAGAGATCAGTTAAGACCCAGCTCCAAAAAAACTTCTCAAACACCAAAATATTAACGGGAAAATCTGAGAGGAATCGTTAGGAGAAAGTCTATGCATTTTGTTAAATAGAATGTCCAAATATATTTGACAAATAAGTGAAATCGACCTTAAAGTTTTTTTGTTTTAATGAATAACAGCTGCCCTACAACATGCACAGAAAGTAGGGAAAAGGGAAAAATATAATGAAGAGTAATTCTAGCATGAGCTCCAGTGCTGACATTGATTATGATTTTAAATAAAATGAAGAATGTTATTTATACTTTTCTGAATATTTGGACATTCCTGTGAACTCTGAGACTTGAACGGTGAAGACAGAAAAAAAACAAGGAAGACAATTTGACACAGACAATGCACTGTTGTAAATTGTGACATTTTTTTATGTGGCATTATTTTCCCCACATACACATCAGGTTTCCACTGTGATACTCGAACAGTCACCACAGACAGTTTCCAGTGCTTTTTATTTACAAAAAAGTGACTAGACTTCATGTTACTGTACACTTTGATATTTTTCCCTTTTATATAAATACCCATAGGGTAATAGGTCCTCAGTAGCTTTGAGTGCATCATAAAACACACAACCCTAGGTTAATGCGTCTTTTACTAACCATACAAAACAGAGAACAAAGTACCAATTGTAACATAGAAAATAAAGGATACACCATGTTACAAAGTTACAGAATACATACTTTATATATATATATATAATAGCGCACAGTTGTTTTTCAGTCACAGCATTCAATCATTAAAAAGTATCCAAGGTGAAGACACCTGAACAGAGCATTCAGGGAGTTTTTGTGTCTCAGTGTTTTGCTTTGTGCCACAGTCTGTCTGTCTGCTCTGGCGTCCCAAAACAATATTAAGGCAGTACATTTAATCTACATCCTGCAGAAAACTAATGTGCTGTGATGCTGCTCAGTGCAGAGCAACAGGAGGAGAAAGTGAAACAGTAAAGGCTTCAATGGCAGCTGCCAGCACACTGATCCTGCAGTCATAAAACAGACTGATGATCTGGGGCGCTCACTTGTGAGGCTGACTGAGGGAAACTGGCAGAGGGGTACATTCCTTAAAACAAAGGCACAGATTGACCAGCATTGCACTCATGATTTTGCTGCATGTTTTTAACAATCTACATGATTTGAAGGGATATTTTACCCCCCGCAGCGGGCAAAAAACTTTGATTGTTGATTTGAAGAAATGGAATTAAATCTCTGCACAAACTATACAACAATCATCGAGGGGATTTTCAAATTGTCAGTACGTTCTTACCATGATTCCTAATACCTTGCATTGGTATGCTCCACTATATCTGCTCCTCCTTTTTTTTTGATGCACATGATTGGAAGTGTTAAAAGACTTTGCATTCACAGATTTTAGCAGGAAAGGCCCATCCAGCTATTTGGCCCAGCCGGTGGTGGCCTCGCCGTTGATGTAGGCAAAGCCGGGGAAATGCTGCGAGTGTTCATACTCTGAGTTCCTGCGCGGGCCCAGTGGAGAGTACATGTCCCCAGAGGCGGCATAGCGGGATGAATGCATAGGCGGGCTGGTGTAACAGCTGTTAGCTGGTGACACATCTGTCCACCGGGGGGCGACAGGTGCGGGGTGCAAGCGAGGCGTGCTGCCCATCAAGCAAGGCTCCATTCGAGACATCTGGCCGTTGAGCTGGTACTGTAGAGAAGAGGAAGAAAGAAGTTAGGACCCATTTATCAACGAGACAAGCAAAAACTAATCAACTAACAGGTGAAGCCTCAAGAAGTGTTTATTACATATTTATCTCTTTGTTGTCTCCATTGTGTGTTAAAACCCAAACATTTTCACTCCCAGGGGTTCTCAACCTTTTTTTTGGCATGTGTACCCCCTTTCAGAATTTTTTTCAGCCAAGTACCCCCTTGTCCTGCCAAGAACATTTTTCAGGAAATAGTTTGGGAAAAGAACGTGAATAAATCGATGCATGTGGTCTTCATGCATTCATACATAATGCAAGCTATATTATAAATGAATATCCTCACGTTGGAAATACTTCCCTTTTTTATGTTGAATAGAGAACATATGCTGATAATTAATTTGTCTTTAATCAGTGTCAGGATTTTCCTACAAATCATTATAAATGGTTTGTTGTGGTGCAACTTTTTTTTAATAACAACTGTCACGTACCCCTGGCAGTACTCCCACGTACCCCTAGGGGTACACGTACCCCCCTTTGAGAAACACTGCACTATCACATGGACCAAGAAACGCACCACTCAGCAGATTTTAGAAGGTAGAACCATCTAAAGTCTTATGTTTGCTTGAAAATGTTATTGTTTCAGATTCCTTTTCTTTAAACTGACTCAACAACCTGCCCTTATTCTCATTGTATGATCAGATCATTGACAAATGTAAAGGTTTATAGGTCATTACATATGAAAAAAGGTTAATGTGTGAAAACTGAGTCAGAAGGAATTCATTTATTTTCTTTAAATCTTTTTTTTTTTTTTTTTGTGCCTTTATTGTAGAGATAGGACAGAGGATAGAGCTGGAAATCAGGGAGAGAGAGAGTGGGGGAATGATTTGAGGGAAAGGAGCCACAGGTTGGATTTGACTCTGGGCCACCCACTTGGAGGACTACAGCCTCCATACATGGGGACGCGTGAACTAACCACTGCACCACCAGCGCCCCGAAATTCATATTTGTTTTCATATTTATTGTAGATTACATAAAGTGGGTTTCAAACCAGGACTTTTGCAACTGAACTTTACTCCATGATGAGGTGAATCTGATCATTGAAAGACTTTCACCAGGGGTTTTCTCCCACTGCAGGGGTTTTTAGAAAAACATGTATTTGTACAAGTTCTCTTAATTAACCAGTTTAACTGAATATATACTATAATATTCTTCAAATGTTTATTCCCTTCAACGAGTTAGAGTAGAAAAATGATACGACTCAGATCTCTAAGTTAAAAAATGAAGGGGCAGCAGAAGCTTTTTTAGTTTAGCTTAGCATAAAGAACAGCTCCGTACCAAGTAAAAAAAGTCGGGCAGAAAAAAACTATAAAAATAAGTTTTCAGAAGGAGAAGGCAAACAAGATATAATGTGTAAATAACTGAGCTTTCAGGCTGCTCTGAGGCAGACTTTGTTATCTTTGGTCAGGCTAGTTTGTTTTCCTCTTTTAAAACCTTACAGTTAATGAAAATGTTTATGAGAGCAATTCTATAATATGCAGAATAAATTAGATTAAAGTATCAAACTATATCTTTAACAAGGGTCCAAATGCTGGTCTATCCACAACGTCGGGTTAGTATTATTTCTTGGTCTTTTTTTTTCTTTATTGGGGAGGAGAGTGAGGTGATGATTTGGAAAAAGAGAAAGGGTTGGAATCAAACCTTGACCACTGTGGCTAGGTTTCAGCCTCTCTCCTGGGACTCATGCTCAACCAGGTGAGCTACAGCATACCCCAAAGTTGTCACATTTTAAAATACTGATTAAGAAAGTATGTGAAAAACCAAATGTGATCTTTTAATGACACTATCTTCAGATCTGCAGAGGACCTGACCTCTGTGTCCTCACAGGTAGCTATACCGTGTTGATATCTGATTTGATGTTATGGAAGTCCTGTGTGCTGGGACTCAGCTGACCCTGTAATTTCCTGTCAGGGGAAATTGCCTCACAAGTTTTACCACAGTTGACAAATTAGAAAATTAAGCCACTTAAGCCACAAAAATTAGGAATCCTCTGAAAAAGTGTTTTTTCCTGTTATTTTAGTTGCCTGTGGTGACTGAACTCAAACAGATGGGATGAGAACTGTTTCTGTTCATCTCCGACACGTCCTCAGCCTCTAACACGGACAGAGCAGAGGCATTGTTCCCCATTTATCTCAGACAAAAAAAAAGTGGAAGTAGGACCCTTTTCCCTTTTCACACTATAAATAAACACCACAGTAGCATCCATTATGAGGGATCGCAGCACGGAAAAAGACAGTCAGTGCAGGTCAGAGAGCAGAACAGACGGCTCAGCCGCCTCTTGTTCTGAGGCAGAAAAGACACCATTGAATAACAATATTTTAATAAACGCCCCCTTTCCCCGCTCTGTGGCTGCTGGCTAACACACATGAGGAGACTATTGAGAGCTGGAAAGAGGAGTAACAGAGGAGGGCCCCTCCTGGCCCCGGCCGAGCCACCTTTCACTGCCTGCTTCCGCTGTGTTGAGAGGGGGATTCTGGGACTTTTTAGAAACCCCTGTTACCACTGAGGCCCGGCTGATCTCCTCCCACTATAAAGCCAGTGGAAGTTGGAGGGCCCTTGACAGGAAATTACCATCAAAAGAGTAAACCAGCATCAGGCGCTGCACAAGCTGCAACATTAGGAACGGCTTCTCTTCTTAATGTTTCTCTTTTCTCATATTTAAATCGTTCATTATTCCTTTTAAAGCAGTGGTTCCCAAAGTGGGGGTCGGGACCCCCTGGGGGGTCGCGATACTCCTTAAAAATGGTTTAAAATAGCATATTTCACCATTAATTTGAAAATACAAACAAATATGATGGTGTTTCGGCTATTGTGTGGTGTCCAATGCCAGTGTTTGGAGAGGTCTAATAGTGTGCGTGGCTGTGCGCAATGTCAAATGTTCTAAGCACCTCATGGGACAATTGGGGTCCCCAGTCTCTTGCGCAATTAAATTGGGGGTCACAGGCTGAAAAGTTTGGGAACCCCTGCTTTAAAGGACAGGTCAGGGGTTAAAAGGCTGATTTGAAGGTATCCTCATCCATATATGTATCATCTACATGTTTATGTAGATATTATATTTTGACACACGAGACATTCTCCTTCTACTTCTTACAATGTCAACTGCCAACAAAACAGTTTAACACTGCTCTGTATAGTGGACACACTCTTTAGTTACAGTTACACACACACACACACACACACACACACACACACACACACACACACACACACACACACACACACACACACACACACACACACACACACACGTGGTTACTTAAACACACATGATTGTAACAAAGCATCAACTACATTGTTTTTTCCACTTATGTGACACTGAATTGATCCTCCCTCATGACGGACATCAGCTGCTTTCACTTATCAATTTTGTACTTTTGTCAAGTGAAGTTTGAGAAACTTGAACTTTATTTATGGAATTTGACACGGCCTCAAAAAATATACTTCCTGTACCACAGAAAACTTCTAAACTTTCTGTAAAGGTTTCTGTAAAACTTCAACCTAAAGTCAAACTCGGGACGTTATAGATTTCTAATAAAAACCCAAACCGACATCGACTTTAGCTTAAGTTCTCTAAATGTTCTGACTTCAGGTTATCTATCATTTTGATGTCTTGATGTGATTTTATTTAAAATATCTTCCTCAACATTGACATTAATTGAACCTTTCAACATTTAGCTCTTCGGTGAGGAGGACTGACCTGTGCGGATGAGCGGTGGTAGGCCGAGTAGTGGAGGGGCGGTGGGATCGTTGACTCGTGGGTCAGACTTGGATACTGGCTCTGGATGGAGTGAGGATGCTGGTTGGTGTAGCTGCCGTAGTTGTAGCTACCTGTGTACCTGAAGAGAGGAGGAAAGTCAAAACACATTCATAAAGTTGTCCAACCAGTTTCCAAAATGTCTTGATTGAAATCCTGAAATGATAATTACCCATGCTCCTCTCTGTGCGTGTAGACGGGCATCCTGTGGGCGGAGGAGGGAGGGGGCACTGGAGCGCTGTTCCTCATACAGGACAGCTGCTGGCCGGCCTCTGGAGCGGAGCCGCCTGCTGTTGTCACTGTGTATGTAAGGGACCAGGTATATGACTGAACAGCGCCTGGCAGACACATGTACACACACAGAGACACACACGTGTTGGCCCAGAGGAGCTACGTGCTTCTATTTGTTTGAAGGTATCTGAAATGTGACTGTGAGGCCCTGCTCACCTGTGGTGGACGGGGTGACTCCGTTGTACTCGGGGGACACGGCTGCTGTGGGGGAACTGGCCGAGGAAACGCCAACAGAGTGGACTGAGCGGGCGGGAGAGAAGGACGCCGGAGACGGGGAGGCCGGGGTGTTCTCTGTCGACGGGAATTCCTCCTCTCTCTCTGCTGAAACGTTTCAGAAGAACAGAAGAGTCATCACAACGTTTTGGGTCAGGAGGCAAACAAACAAAATGAACATCTTCATCGAGAGGGTTTATCTCTTTTTGAGTCCTGCCTAAACATGTTCAAGTAAAACACCTTTATGAGGACAAAGCTTGTGTTCTGTGAGAACAAAGTCATGTGATAATAATAATAATTTATCCTTTATTAATCCTGTGAGGGTAAATTCAGTTTTACACTCTTTTTAATGAACATGCTACACAAACATAGGCTGAAACAAACACATGCACAAACAGGATCCTGTGGACATGCACTAATGGAGAGGTCTCAGAGTGAGGGGGGGCTGCCCACAGCGAGCACTCTTGCTCAAGGGCACCTCAGCAGTGCTCAGGCAGACCAATTTCCAGACTTGGTCCGTGCCGGGACTTGAGCCGGCGACCCTCCGATTCCCAACCCAAGTCCCTACAGACTGAGCTACTGCCGCCCCAATACCAGTGGAATCAAGAAAAGCAGAAGTGGACTGTGAATGTTTCTTTTCATCTTCATATATATATGAAGATGAAAAGCTCTCGATCTCAACAAGAGATCGAGAGCTTTTCATCGATATCTTTTATTATAAAGGGATGTAATGTTCTACTGTTTTTATAAAGATTTGGATAGGTTTCTGCATTTTGATGTACGGCAGGTAAACGTCACATTTATACCGCACTGGTTAAAGGCTTTATATGTGATGTTTTGATCCAGCAGATGTCGCCCTTGAGCACCAGCATGAAACCAAAACAACTCGCGCTGCATTGTTGTGTTAGCATGCTAATGCTAGCGATCTTTATTATGCTGGTATCTTCACACTGCATGTAAATTTACCTGAAATGAGCGTGATCTAGAAACACAGTTAAGCAGTGAGTACAGTATGTTATTCTTCTTTTCTCTAGTCCCTCAATTAAACAACTTTTATACACGAGGGGAGGAGTCAGCCGGCCGTCCTGGCGATGTAAACAAAGTGAAGATAGGACTCTGAAAACTCTGAAAGTCATGACTCACAGAGTTATTTTCAGAGGATATACTTGATTTCTACATTTAAGTGTGAAAAATCACATATAAAGCCTTTAAGAGAGAAACTCATGTCAGTCTCCATGTGCTGTAATCTTACAATCACAGAATATCTCATGTTTTCAGATTTGTTTTCTTGCTGATGAATCAATATATTGCCCTAAACATGGTGTGCCTCATGACTCTGGAAAGAAAGTTATTGTTTGTTCTTGGTTTAGTTTCTTGAGAGTGGGATGACTTGTCAAGTCCAACATGATGCCGTCTCAACCGACCAAGTCCAAGAAGTAAACGGTTTAGATGAAAAGACACCACTGGATGTCAATTCAGCTCCAAAAAGCAGTTAAGAACTATTAAAACAAATGATAAAACATCGTTCTATCATCACTGACACTTTTCTGATTTAACAACTTCATTTCTGCACAAGATGTTTTTGCAGCTTCTCCATCATCGCAAACAATTCGATCGACCTCCTCCAGGTAGTGGTCTCTCACCTGTGCTGCCTTCCCCCTTCATGGCCCTCATGAGCTCATTGGCCCTCTCCTGGCAGTGCAGGGACTCCAGCAGGTAGAGCACGTAATCATCAAACATGAGGTGGATCAGGTGGAAGGACCCTGCATGCAGACAGACATGAAGACATGTTATTTTAGAAACAAAGTGACAAATTCAAAAGGTTGAAAAAACAAACAAAAAGGATATAGACGGGGCGCTGGTGGCGCAGCGGCGGCCCAGGTTCCAATCCCACCTGTGGCTCCTTTCCCGCATGTCATTCCACTCTCTCTCTCTCTCCATGATTTCTGACTCTATCCACTGTCCTATCTCTCCATTAAAGGCTCAAAAAGCCCAAAAATAAATCTTAAAAAAAATAAAAGGACATAGATGATGACGATCTGGAGAGTTTCTAAAAGCATCTGAGTGATGACATCATATCCTGCAGGCTGACAGGACGGCAGCTGTTATTAGAAAAAAGGACCAAGAGTAATTTTTCCGTGTGCAGAGTCAGTGCCAGAAGTATATCCGCTGACCCCGGGGGTCACGCAGAAGATGGGACCTTGGCATGTGAGGCGGCGTCACAATTGTGGCCATTGTGCCGACTGCTGCCGCCGCCGTGCGCATAATAAACACTTGTGGCTATTCAGGGGAGTACGGGGGGAGGGGGGGGGGGGCAGGGGCGTATTACTGACCAGTCATAAAATGTAAAAAAAAAAAAAAGACAGGCAAACACGTCGGGAGAGGGGAGGAGCAGCTTTTGTTAATTAGTTGTTTGTGCACAGAGACCTGCTTTATCAAAACACCGCAACCAGCTGTGTCTTTGAGATTCACAGACACAGACACAAGGAGAGGAAAGAGAAGCCATTTTCTTTCTTTTCTTTCTTTACAACTCTTCACTTATTGCTAACCTCTGTCATGCACAACAAGCTGTTACAGCAGCCATTTTACTTTCACTCCTCTCTTCCTTTACTTCTTCTTTTGGACTTTAATTTCATACTTTAGAGGAATCTTTAGAAAATGAAGCTTTTTGTGTTGAATCAGTTTACCAGTGTGCACCAGCTTCTTCTTTTTTTTCAGGGACGCCCCTTGAGAACTTTTTAAGAGTTGGGGATTTGTAATTTTTTTAAATTTTATTTCTAAAACAAGTTATAATAAAATATTCATGCTGCTCAGCTCAGGTTGTTTCTTATGCATAAGAAACGTTGGTCCATTGATGTTCAATCACCAAGATTTCAAACTGCTAAATTCTGCCTTGCCATTCTCTGCACATACTGTCTCAATTCCATGCAGTTGACTTCATCATTCATTCATTTTGTACTTTTATTTATCTTACCTAATCTATTACGTTTAATGTGTATTTTGTATGATCTTTCTTGTCTGTGCTGCTGCAACGCCCGAGTTTCCCCTCTGGGGATCAATAAAGTATTATCCTATCCTATCCTATTCATATCCTCTTTGTAAACTCCTTCAGTTTTTGCTGTGTGTTGCATTGAGGAAGGATGACAAAGCATGAAGCAGCTCACCGAAGCTGGGCGCGCTGTGGAGGGTCATATCCCGGATGACTCTGGTACCAAAACACGACCACATCAGCAGGAACTGTTGGGCCACCTTCTTCAGACACCCGGGCCTCTTCCCTGCCACCTAGAGAGAGAACATTTCCATGAGAAAAGAGTCGGGGGGGAAGGGGAAGGGGTCGGGAAAACCGGGTAGAATTAACCCCTGGGTCCACATTTGGGGCTTAACCCCGCAGGAACGCAAAACATGTCAACAAGTCAACTATTTAATTTGCCCCTCGGGGACACGCCTTCACCATTGAACTATTGTCTGGCCAGTTCCAAGACGTTGCCGGGGCAACCAAATTTTACAAGCCAATATCTGGCACATAATGGGACGCAAATGGGAAGCTTGAAGACATCATTAACTGGGGAGGATCGCGACGTAAAGAGGGCACAGAGCGGAGTGGCCTGCACCAGCAGTTGTCTCCCGAGGGGCAAAAATAATCAAACCTGTGCGGCACAAACACTCCAAACGTTTAATAAAAACCGCTGCCTATAATCACATTAATATATACAACAGCATCTGAAGAACCTGAACTTTTACTTTTGCAAATGTTGAGTCTGACCAATGATTGAAAAGTTGCTCACTGACCTTGACGACACAGCGGTCCACCATCGAGTCCAACCACTCGATGTACGCCTCGATGGGAGACTGCTCCTCCAGCAGACGGTCAAACTCTTGATATACTGTTGACGGCAGAGGGGAACAGGTCCTGGTCAATTTTTGCAAACTTCATATTAAAACATCAACTTCTCCATATCAGTGACCTGTGATCCCTTCAGGAGTGAAGCTGGGGGGTGAATCAGAGATGCTCCACAGGGTGTTTTTAGTCTAAAGTGAACGTGTTTAACCTTTCTGATCTTCATCATTGACTCGACCGGTCGTGGGAATTACTGTCTCTCTCTGTGTGCATGAAGTAGAGTGCATTTCTCCGTCTGTTTGAGTAGAATCAGCCTGAATGTTTCTGACTTACAGTGGATGATAAGCAGCCTGGATGTTTCTGAGTTACAGTGGATGATAAGCTGCCTGAATGTTTCTGACTTACAGTGGATGATAAGCTGCCTGAATGTTTCTGACTTACAGTGGATGATAAGCTGCCTGTTCTCCTCTTGTGAGTCCTCCACTTTAAAATTCATACTTTAGAGGAATCCTTAAAAAATGAAGCTTGTTTGTGTTGAATCAGTTTACCAGTGTGCACCAGCCTTGGCTGTCAAGGAGGTTAGTGGAAATAAACGAGGTGATTTTCTTCTTTTTTTTCAGGGAAAGCCTTGAGAACTTGGGGAGTTGGGGATTTGTAATTTTTTTAAATTGTATTTCTAAAACAAGTTATAAGAAAATATTCATGCTGCTCAGCTCAGGTTGTTTTTTTATGCATAAGAAACGTTGGTCCAGTGGTGTTCAATCATCGAGATTTCAAACATTTTGAAGCGGGGGAGGGGGGGTGAATCAGAGATGCTCCACAGGGTGTTTTTAGTCCAAAGTGAACGTGTTTAACCTTTTGATCTTCATCTTTGACTCGACCGGTCGTGGGAATTACTGTCTCTCTGTGTGTTGTTTCTTAAGAAGTAGAGAGCATTTCTCCGTCTGTTTGCTGCTTGTGTTTGAGTAGAATGAATGTTTCTGACTTACAGTGGATGATAAGCTGCCTGTGCTCCTCTTGTGAGTCCTCCATGGTGTAAAGTGTCTGCTTGGTGATGCTGTTCAAGTCCACATTCCTCCAGTCCTCCAGCATTTGAAAGGTGATGTCAGCACTGTTTATCACCGTCCGTGATGCCTGGGGAAAGATAAATCAACAATATTATTACTCACACAAGCATATACCCATGTTCCTTATCTGCTGTGTTTGTTCATATGGATTTTTATTATTAAAAATAAAAAAACATTGGGTACAGAACACGAACCTGACAGAGGTGGTTTAATGAAGTTTGCCGCTTGAGAATCTGAGAAAATCTCCTGGACACTGAAAACAATAAAAAAAAAAAAAAAGAGAAACATATTCAAACTTTCTGTGAAAAAAAAAAAAACATGAGATGGGATGAGAGGGGGATTGAATACGTACGTTCAAATTTGATGTTCCTCAGGTTTTCAGGGAGGTCGTGAAGTGCTATTTTTAGCCACTCATCGAGCTGTTTGGCAAATTTTCGGATAACCTGAGTCAAACTGTTTGTGTGGAGGAAAAAAAACAGGAACAATGTTTGTTTATCACATTAATGTTATTATTTCCTTTTTTTTTTTTTAAAACAAAAATCTTATCCTGCTTTCTTTAAACAACCAAAATGTATCACTCATTTAGAATCTTTGCTGTGTGAAATGTAAACACAGGCTGTTTCAGCAGTGAGAGGTTTCAGGTATTACACGTAAAGTCGATGGAAATATTCAGTTGTGTTGTTAAAGGTCTTGTTCTTTTTTGTAGCTCATAAAGAGACATGAGTTTTAACATCAGTCCGTTCAACTTCCTCACAGGAGCGTCGAGTAATTTCAATCATCGTATGATTAATAAGAACAAAAAAAAGAAAGTCTGCTTAACTCACTGAACTAAATGATAAACCTAGACTACAGTGTTAATGAAGAAGCTTGAACGCTCACTCAAAATGAACGCAAACTAACCTTTTTTTTTTAATCCAACCCACAAAACACAAAAAAATAATCAAACTTCTGCTGCACAAGCCCTTCAAACAATGACCCAAACCTCTGCCTAGAATCTAACAAACATCATCTGAGGATTTCCTATATGCTGAATCAGACGAGGTGTTAACACACCAGCCTATCCAGTTTTAGTGACATCACATTTTCTCTTTTGAAGGTTTACAACACGTGCTCACCTATCAGGCAGTGCTTGCAGGACGGTGGGCATCAGCACCCCAGAGATGGCCTTGTAGAGGATGGAGTCACAAACACCCACTATGTTCACTACTGTGGCCGAGCCGAGGACGGGGAGCATGTGGGGGGGCATGCCCTGCCAGAAGTGCAGCAAGAAGCTCTGCACCTGAATGCACACACACACACACAACAATGTTCAATATTACAAGAATTAAACATTTCAGCTGCAGGAATTAGGTACGTGCAAAGTTTTTTGTTGAGATAGATTCTGGTTTTTGGCTGAAACCGACTTTAATGTGTAAAAAATGTTTAGATCAAAAGAAGAAAGCTTGCCTCATCAAAGTTGGCTCTTATAACAGTGTCCAGTATCCTCTGACAGTGCGTTCTGTACATCATGATGAAAGTCGACACCTGTGGATAACAGCAGAGTTTTTAAATGTTGCATCACAAACTTCGATGTGTTTTTTTTTCTTATTTGGAAAAACTAAAAAAAAAAAAAGTGGTGGAAAAACAAGAAAATAAATCTTGTGCAAAGCATGTGAAGCAATAAATACATGTAACAGGTCTAGGCTGGAGCTGGAGTACTATAAAGCATGCTTTAGAGATCAGCAGAACACAAACCATTTAAAATCATGGCCCCTCTTTAAAAGCCGGACAGCTAGTGCCTGTCCTTTGTCCAGTGCTAGATCTTATTATCTCCCCCCAAAAGATTAAGAGTTAGTGAGGAGCCAGCATATAAATCCTCAAGGTCCTTCTCTAAATGCAAACCCCAGAGAAGGTCCCGGGGCAGATAAAAGGCTGGAGCCGGAGGGGGGGCTGAAGATGGTGAGATGGTTTAGTAGAGGTAGGAGCAGGGAGGGGTTGTAAAGGATGGACTTTTTTAAAACTTCTGTTTACCCTCTCTTCTGGCAGGCTGGCAGGCAAATTTAGGTCTTTGACATTTGGAAACTCTGGCAGGAGCGTCCCCAGTTTGGAGCGTGGTGAATACGCCACTGTCTGCTTGGTGACCTCTTTCTTCCCCGTCTCGTTCACCCACGCCGCTCCCTTTTTGGAGTACATCACGTCATAGTACTGAGAGGTCTCTTTAACCGCTATGCCGTAGTAATGGTACCTGAGGTGGAACGAGAGAATGGCATCGTGTAAAGGACAAGAAGGACCATCTAGAGACGATGGAAAACTGTGAACTAAGACATTTAAATTAAAAAAAAAAAAATAAGCAAAAAAATTCAGCATTATTTATTTTTTTAAAATGTTTTTTAAGAAATACATTCACGAGGAGACTGAACACTACAAAGGATGAGCGAAATCTGATCCACGATCCATGACTTTACTTTCTTTGGACTCGTTTGCCTGGATGACTGGTGATGCTCTTTTTCCGGACTTAAAACAAACAAAACTGGAAGGACATTTGTTTTTATTTTTTACTAATGTTGCTGTGCTGGTGTATTTACCTGTCCGCTCCAAATAAAGATACAATTAAAAAAAATAATAAAAAATAAAATAAATAAAATAAAAAAAAATAAAAACACTGAATTGATTATAAATCTGTTGGTTTAAATTAAAATGGTCTCAAATTATATTTTATTTTAAACTTTTGTTTTTTTTAAATCTCATCAAAATGTCCACATAGCCGAACATTTCAGATTTTTCAAATATAAAATGTATCAGGATAAAAAAGTACAGATTCTTTTTGTAGAATTGGTTGATAAACTTGAACAAATATGGAACTTTGGTATTTTAACATGTGTTATGTTTCTGCATGTTTAGTTTTGTCTGTAGGGTTTGTGAGTATTTGGAGAAGTGTGTGATTTAGTTTATGAGAAAACCTCTTACTTAGACTGCCCTCTGGTCCCCAGTCTTCTGGTAGTTAACGCTGGAAACTGTTGTCTTATGATCTATTCATTAGAGGAGAAGAAGAAGAAGAAGTCATCAGCGGGCTGTTTGTTACTACAAAAAATACTTTTTTTTTTTCACTGTCAACCTAAATTTATCTCCGAACAGTAAAAGAAAAACAGACGAGATTAAACAGCTACTGTGTGAGGGTTAATCCTTGAAATATAGCAGAAAAGGGATTGTTTTACTTAGAGTCTAACACATAGTAAATACATTAAACTGAAAAAAACAGAACTTGTACAACATCTTCAGTCCAAAGTTTGTCTGGAGAAAAAATGAGGGGAAATAAAGCGCCTTCCATTTATGACAATCAGGGCTATTACTTTTTTTTGTTCTTTTATTTTTTTTTAGCAACAGCCTCCCTTCATCTATCCTCCCTCCTTTCCTTTCCTCCCCTCTCTCCCTCCTTCTTCCTTTCCTCTCTCTTTTTTTGTTCCAAAGAGATTGGCTCCCTGGTCCAGCTCCTGGTGCAGAAACTTTAGCAAACAGTGTAGCTCTCTATTGTGTGGGATGAAAAAAGAGGCCAAGCTGTGAAGTTTCTGTCAGGACCCGCTTGATAAATGAGCAGACAGGGAGGCAGTCCGGGCCCTCTCGCGTTTTTTTGTCCTGAATCAATGAAGCCTTCCTAAAGGACACCCCACACCGCTCCAGCCACTGATCTAACATTCCGCAACATCTCACCCTTCCAAATTTCCTTTAATTACACATTAATCCAGGCCCCTTCTCTTTTTCAATATCTTCCGACAGGAGCTGCAGAGAGGGGCGGGGGTGGGCCGAGGTTGGGGTGGGGGGGAGGCTGGGGCCGGAGGATGGCTGGGGGTAGGAAGGCTGAGGAACTTCTTGGGGTTGTGGGAACAGAGGAAGGCACATCTCCTTGGGGTTATGTGCTCAGTGAACGGCCGCAGAGCTTTGCTTGCTTCACACTGTGCTGACGTTGATATTACTTCAACAGAAGCCAGAGATGCTTCAGCACAGAAACTAACCCAGGCATGACATGATCAGAGTTATGCTTATGGCTTTTATCTTTTTAGAGTCGAACACATAGTAAATACATTAAACTGAAAAAGCAGAACTTGTACAACATCTTCAGTCCAAAGTTTGTCTGGAGAAAAAATGAGGGGAAATATAGCGCCTTCCATTTATGACAATCAGGGCTATTACTTTTATTTATTCTTTTTTTTTTTTTTGCCCTCATACCTGACAGAACTCAAACATCTCTCGACTGGGCGTTACCAGACACGTTCCTCAAGACGGTTACTGTTGAATGTTCCTCGAGTCAGAACTGGGAAAATCAGCTTTTTCTTATTCTGCACCGGACTCTTGGAACAACATGCAGCATCTTCTGGAGGGAAATTAACTTTTACCTTTTGGGCATGTTAGAAACCGGAATTTAAGCCTCCCAGTTAAGTTTTGTACTCGCTTAATTATCTTCCATATCCATTTTAGCCTTTTTAAGACTGATTTTAGCAGTCTTGCATTATCTGTCCCCTGTTTTTCTTTTTGATTTAATGTTTTCTAATTATTTCTGTCACTCTAAACTTACAGTGCACATGTAAATTAAAACCCTTAAAAAGGGGGAAATGATCAATATTAATGACGGGTACTCAGCTTATTTTTTAAAGAAGAACTACATCATTTACCAAACATCTTGCAGAAGTACTCTGACTACAGATGTTACCTACTTAACTTACAGTAAACCTCCATGGGTTTTAAAGACATTTGTAGATTTTAAGGGACACAAACTGGACATGTGGGAAAATGATGAGATGACTCCTTCCTCGCTGACGTTTGAATCTTACCTTTCCAAAGCTGGCTGCGTTCACAGGCTGAGTATCGTGCTTCTCGCTGAAGTCCAGGTAATGCATATAGAGGGCACTTCGGGGGATACACACTCCTTCGGCTATCTCGTAGTTCTCTTCTAGCCTGTGAAAGTGGGAATGATCAGGACAAAAAAGAATATCCAGTATGAACATTTGAGCATTGCTAATATGTTTATATAAAGATAAAAATCACAACTTTAAACAGACCTCTCCTTGTGATTGTACAGTATGTATTTAACATTTCAGGAGAGCACATCAAAATCTTACATTTCCACTCTTTTTCTCCAATAAAAAGAGACTCGTCAGCCTTTGTATTTGTCAGTGTCTCTAAATTGAATCAAGAATGATGTAGCTCTCAATTGTTAAATCTTTCAACTGCCCAAAAGGTCCCTCTGTTTTGTGGTGTCCCCCAGGGTTCTTTTCTTAGCCCCCTTTATTTATTATCGGCTTCTGGGGAACATCAGACTTGGACATAGTACAAATGTATGTTTTGAAAGAGGGTATTACATAACTCAATAAACATGTTATTTACTACGTCCTGTCTCGCTACACGAACTAGATTTAAAAATATGTGGTATACTTTTGGTAAATGTTTTTCTTTCACTTCCTTGATAAGCTTTTTTTCATTTACTTTTATTTTTGTGTTTTTTTTTTTCTGTAAACAAACTTGGAACTTTTTTGCTGCAAATACATTTCTGAATGTGAAAAGTTTCACAAACATGATGATGTGTTTATTGGCTAGCTGGATAAACAGATAACCATCATATTATCACATTTTATCACGTTGTAAGTTTACAACTCACAAAAAAATCTAAAATTAAAACCCTGAAACAAGAACAGACCAAAATCGTAGAATAAACCATCGGAACAGTGTTTTTGGTTTGGGATAAGATTTAACTGATTTTGTGGCACTCTTCAATTATCAAGGTAAGATTTATTTTATCATTGATGTTAATGAAAGTCTTCTTTTTTTAAACAAAATCACAATAAAGACTTCTGTTTACACATATCATTGATTTATACTTAAAAAAAAAAAAAGCTTAATTCAACAAGCACATTCAGAAATAAATATCCTGTAAAAAAAAAAAAAAAAAAGTGTGAAGTTATTTCTGACTAATTTACTATTTGGAAACATTTGTATCCACTACAGTTGTCCAAACATTTAAACAAACTCTTATAGTCACTTATGAATCTCATATTGTGATCATAGGAGGAGCATTACATAGTTTAAATAAATGCGGTAATAATTCTTGAACATTTACCAGAATAGACCCTCATGGACCAGTTCACTTTTTCTGATGGTCAGAAAAGCAAACTGAAGTTAAAAGTCACACCAGATTATTTACAGAGTTTAAATCAGAGTTTAGAAGTTCAGCAAGCTACATGACAATTATGTTAAAAGTGTTGCCCATGCACCATGCCTTTCTGGGCATTTTGGAAACGTATTTCTGGTAACTGAATAATTTATTTTTGTGTAAAATACGGTATGAAACATCGATTAAGCCTGTACCTGTTTTATAAACCACAACGATAAAGTTTCAGCCAGACATGAAAGATTTTGGAGTTTTTCAGCTCTAAACTGTCTTCTTAAAAATACAGTTATGTTTTCAGTCAGTAAGCTTTATTTCTTACAGACAGCACTTCAACACCGGTAAATTCCCTCCATGTTTAATCTATAATATTGTGGTTATAATAATAGTATAAACCACTCTTAGTGCCTTTTAGAAATGTTAAATATGGGTCAAATCGTCCTTTTCAAACCTTTTTTTTCTTGTTTACAAAATTTTAACTCATACTTAAATAATCTCAGTGATTGGTAATGATTGTTAATTTCTTTTTAAGTTTGAAACATACATTCTCATGTTTCTCTTCTTAAAGGTACATTGAATGTTTTGAAGTAAGGCACAGCGCTGTGCAATAAGCAGGCACAGATGAAGTCCATGTATGTGTGGGGTTTGTGTTTTATGTGTGTAGGAGATGACAGCTGCTCTTCTTCTTAAGCCACATGTGATAGACGTCCATGTTTGAATTAAAGTGCAACGACAAATAAAACTTCAGCAAGCAAAATTAAGATTTGAAATGATCGAATTCAACACTTCTAAATTACTTCTTCTTATATTTAAAATAGAAACATTTAAACATGTGTAAAACAAAATGTAAAAACATCCCAAAATCAGGATGGCACTCATATGTGTGTTTCTGTTTAGCAATGGCAAAATAATAATCCTATTTTTTCCCCCGAAACAGAACTAAAAAAACGATACCAGCTGGTGTTAACAGTGTAATCTGTGTTGCTCATCAAAACTAAAACTCATTAAAAAAAAAATCCAACAGGCTTCACTAACATGTTAAAACTGTGTGCTTACCAGGATATTGAAATTTTTTTTTAAAGTGAGGTGTCCATTTTTTTTTTTTTTAACTCTTTACAAATTGATGCCTGATATTTTTTTTTTTAGCATTAATGTTTTATTCTATTTTACTAAAATAAGTGGACATAAAAGCTATTTTCAAACCTTTGGGCGTCATTTGTTTGAGAAGATTAGCTTCATTCTGTTGCATTCATTTAACCCTCATGCATCATTATGGACATTTCTGTCCATTTGGTCAAATGTTTCCTCTTCATCTGGTCATCATTTTGTCTGTGTTAGTGCACATGGCATCATTTTGTCTGTCAGAAAGACTCTCTCTTGACAAATTTTGGAATGCACATTTTATTTTTTTAATAGATCAATAGAACACTGAGAAACAAATTTACTACCCTCTTAAGTCACTGAGGACAAAAAATGTCCACTTCCAAAAAACTGCTATAAAAATAGAACAGATTGATATTTTACACTAAGGACATTTTTGAGGGTATTAAATTAAACTGATGCCTGAGGGTCAAAAACATTTGCATTTGATTGAAACAGTTTGACTTCAAATGTGTTGAACGTTGTTTGACTCTCTTTTCTGACTCTTATTGTTTTGTATACGAGAGACAAGAAGAAAGGAAAACAATCAGACAACTCACCATTCCAGAGTAGCCGGTGTCGAATGTGGTTTAGAGGCTCTGTTGTTTTCTTTTTCTTCATCTGCAACAACACATTTCAGATTGAAAGTTATTCAGGTAAAAGGAGACACAAAGAATGTGACACCAATGACAGTTTACGTGCAAAGTGAAAACAATACATTGTTATAAGTTTCAGTTACTAAAGGCTCGGTTGGGTTACATTCATCATACTAAACAAACATTATCTTTTGGCTCTTTTAAACTAGATCTGGGGGAAAACACCACACAACATTAGTGTTCCTCAGTGAAGCCTGAAGTGTTTGATGTGCTTACGTTCGTCGTTGGACATGTTCCCCAGAGACGTGTGACTCGAGTATCTCTTGCTCTCACTCTCGTTGAGACATCTTTCAATCCAACTCTCTAAAAAAAAAAGACAATGGACCACAGATCAAAGACTGGGACAAAATATAAAGCTATTATCACAACGCTTAGGACTACAACATAAAATGATTGTGTTTATTTTTTTAAATATTTAGTTTAGTTTAGTTTAATCGTTTATTTGAATCAGGGTCAGTGGACAAAAAAAACCCCATTAGTCTCAGAAGAGAAGAGATGCTTTGTACCAGATTTAGCTAGCTAGCTAATTTCCATCTGTTGTCCCTGTTGTCATTTAACCTTTAAAATAACCCGGATAGTGCTTTGAGATTCAACATGTTTCAACAGTGTCCTGGCCAAGACGAGCAGCAGAACAGTAAACTCAAAGAGCAGCCTTACAAACATGATACAAGACGACTATGAGAGGTTAAAAGACATGAAATAACTCATGAAACGAGTATTTGTCAAACTACACCTCATCAAGAATGCATTACAACTAGATGAGCCTGCCTCCAAATCGGTTTCATTTCATGCCTCTTAAGGTGATTTTGAATGAATTTGATGTTTTTAAAACAGAAAAGATTTTGACATTTGGGAAGACCGATATTATTTTTTAACTTGCAGCAGCAGTTTTAAATCGTTGTTTGGCAAAGGAAACAATTCTTCAGCAGCTTTTCTGTGTTCATTCTGCTGCAACTGAATTAAAAAAAAAAAAAAAAGTTCTGGTTTGAACTCATTTTGTCTCTCAGCAGAAAAGAACCAAAGCTGTATTTACATAAACAGTGCAAATCACTGCCTATAGAGGACACTTTAAATGTCACTAATGTGACAGGCCGAGCTGACAACAATCGATTGTATGGGCAGCGGCGGTGGCGGCCATGGCTCTATTTGAGCTTTTTTCACCAGGACGGCAGGATTCCAGCTTTGTTCCCAGGGGAGTACGAGCGTACACACACTTGCTTAAAAGAGCCAGTGCACATTACTGAAGCAGTCTGCTGGAATAGAGGCCATTGTCCTTTTTTAATTTCTACTTAGAAATAGCTCAACTGGTGTTCTTTTAGGGAGCGAGCAGCAGCAAAACACCAAAGCTTTCATGTAGAAACAGCCTAATACATTCAGGGGAAATACATTCTGAATTCAATCATTCGTTCTTAAGAAAAGTATTTGACAACTGGTCAATTTAATTAACAAGTAAAATCAAACAAGATCAATACAAGTAAAACCAAATACTTTAATTTACTATTTCTCTAATAAGCTTCTTCTTCGTTTTGAATTTTACATCCTCAGCAAACAAATAAACAACCAAGTATTTTTATATTTGAATTTTTCTAGTAATTTCAAGAATAAAACTGTTAAAGATTCCAACAATAAAGAAGTACTTCCTGCATATTTACTCCTGAGCAAACAGTGCTTCAGTAAATGTCCATAAAAGCTCTTCAAGTACTATTTCAAACACTTTGTTTGTTTGTGTTTTTCTTTTTTTTTTCTGCCATTTAAGGGCAGTTAACATGTGTGACTATAGGACAGACTGTTGGCTGGACTACCTGTTGTTCCATGCGGACGACTCAGAGCAGGTCAGAGAGATTCAAACGTTATTTACTCCTGAAGCGGAATAAACACTTTTTGGGCCCTCGGGACACAGACATGTTTATTTTTTATTTTTTTTGGTTTGTGCTCGGGAACAAATAATCAGAAGGTAACTCTTGATGGGTTTTAATTTATTATGTATGCATTTGATGAGTTTCATGAAACGGACTGATTTTAAGTTCTTTACAAGACAGTCAAATTCTAAAAGGCCTTAAAGACAATAAAACAAACACACCTGTGCATGTGTTTCCTAAGGTTAAATCTGACACAGTCATGTCTCATCATTGTTTCACAGCATTTGTTTTTCTATACTAAAAAAAAAAGAAAAAAGCCAAAACAAGCAAACCCTGGGAATTAAAAACTGAACCCACTGAAGTGGAGCTAATTCTCCACAGAGGCTCGGATCTAAAGCTTCATTTGACACAGGAAAAGACAAGTTGGGGATCTAAATAATTGGATTAAATTTGATAAGCACCTAAAGTGGATGCTCACTCATTTACCAACACACATTCACAGTTACACTTCTCTTTTCTGCTCCAACAAACTCAAAATGTGATTTTAACCTTTAGTCATCTAAAAAATCCGAATTCATCAGTTTAACTGAACTGAACCACTTTGTTTTAGCAGTAAGAAAATGCTGCCTCATCTCTTCAATCTTTCAGTCAGAATATCTGGAAAAACAAAACAACACTTTAACCAGAGAATAAACCAAAAATATTCTACGCCTCCATTCAGTTTGAAAGTTCAGTAAATGCTCCAGTTTTTAAAATCTTTGTCTCAAAATACAGAAAAAAAGCAGAAAGGAGCAGGTGCATAATATCCTCAAAAGTTTACCAGCATGTGCGCCTGCCTATCTTCTGAATTTTGTTGAGTAGTTAAATTGACATATCATTCAGAAGAATTACAAGAAGCTACGAGGTTGAGCCAATATTTAAAGATTTCAGGTCTATTCCCCTGCTTTCTGTGACTTTTTCTATCAATCAGTGAACAATTCGATTTTCTAACAGAAGACGAAATCCTTAAATAAACACAAACACAGTCATTCAATTAAAAAAAAAAAAAACCTCCACAGCAAACTAAAAAAGTCAAATCAAAGATATAAAGGGTAATTCATCGGGACACTTTGATGAAATGACAGCAGAAAGTTTCCCGGCAGCAGCAGCAGAAGCTCACACACCGCTCCTTAACAAAAAGTGAGATTTCTGAACAAATTCAAACGCGAGCAGAGTTTAAAACAGGACTGACCTGTGGAATCCATATCAGGCTCCTCCAGCAGCCCGCAATGCATCCTCTTCCCATCAAACGACTCTGGCTCCTCCAAGAAAATGGCTTAGTGCACGTTTTCCCCTCCTCAGCGGCTCACCCCTTTGCTCGCTCTGTGTTCCTGTGACCACTGCCCGTCACAGGAGATGTTGAGGAGGTTCGCCCACTGAGGGGTAGACTTGGCGGAGGAGAGGGTGGGGGGGAGGTGGGAAGCAGGGAGGAAAAGAGGATGGGGAGGAGGGGGGGGGGGGGGTAGAGACTCCAGAAATCCAGCGGGGGGAAAGCCAGACCCGTCAAAATGTTTGCTGATGTTTCATGGGAAAGGGGCTGATTTTATAGGAGCCCTGATGGGGACATGTCATTGATAGGCTTGGAAGGCTGATGAATGGCCCCAAGTCAGATGGGGATGTGGCAAGGCTCACTGGAAGTCTTTTGTGGGGCTGTTTTGAATAAGAAAAGCTCCCTCCCGAACGGAAAAAAAAAAGAGGCTTAGATCTACGCAGTCCTTACACTGTGGCCTCCCCGTCTTCCATTATGGCATTTAATACGTTTTTATACACCCCAGAGCTCCATATAAACATACATCCCTACACTAAGCGCTGCGCCTTCTCATTTTAACTCCCACTTTACATCCTTAGGACACTTGTTGCCCCATTTGGTTCTCATCTCATTCCATCCATAAACCATCTCGGTGCTAACTTATTCTCAACGTATTGTGTGCTCAGCCTCACATCCTCCAATTTTCTTACATTTGCACCAGTGGGAATTTTCCTGGTGGAGTTCTCCCCCTATTTTTTGCTCACTTTCGCGATTGGAAACCTTATTTTTTGGTGTGCCTCTAGAAGAGGGAACGGTCACAAAGGGGGGGGAAGTAAAAGTGCAAAGCCCGAGGCTGGGAGGGCTCTGATGGAGTGCCTGAGAGCTGGAGAAGGGAAAGCTGTGATTAGAATATGAATGGAACCACAGGAGAGGGGGAGAGGAGAGGGGGAGAGAAGAGGGGAGAGGAGAAAGGCGGATTATGGCTGAATTACTCACCACACCATGGATAGCAAAAAAAAGAGGACTTTCTCCACCCAGTGCGCAGGCGTGGGCTCCACTGATGCTCTGCCTCTCAGTGACATACAACATGCAGGTTACCTCGAGCAGGTATGGGACAGGAGCAGCAACAACAGGATCACTATCCAGACTCATAGAGAAAATAAAAAAATAACTATGCGAGAATGACTGACGGCTCCAAAAAAAAACAATAACTTCCTTTTAAAACTGGAAATCATTGTTGACATCTGACAATTCCAAACTGATTAGAAAAATATTACACAAGAAAACAAACAATGGCACATTAATGACACAACATTCAAAGGCCAATGCAAAGCTGTTGCTTTAAAGAGGATCAAATTAATTTCAGTCAAAAAAGGGAGTAGGTGGAGTCTGCCTCTCCTTCAGTGGACGTCCTCTTGTTTTCAGAGCTGTTATCTGCTTATTAGAGACTCATAAAATAGGACAGGTGCAGCCACCAAAAGGGCCTCTTCCATCCCTCCTATTCTCACACACTCTGCCCGCAAAAACGGATGTGTACCGCTTTTGTTCACTGAAAAGGCCTCAATTGAATTTTGTGTGTGTGTGCGAGTTGGGGGGGGGGGGGGGGGGGTATGGTTACGCCACATACAACATGTTGGTGGATTTAAAAGAGGAAACCATATGATTCAAAGACACTTTGTCTCTTCCTGATGACATGAATTAGTGAAGCTCTGCCATTTCTGTTTCTTCACTCATATCGAATCATCCAGCAGTCTGCCAATCAAACATCCTTCAACGATCAACTGATTAACATGAACATTAACTCTTGATGAGCAGCCAGTCAGGATCTACAGGACTCCTGCCAGACAGCAAAAACATGTAGAAACATGTTAACATGATGTTTCAAATCTACTGGCTCCTTCTTCAGGATTATAGCTCAATTTCAGAAAAATCACCTCATGATGAATGTGTATGATATTAAAATAAGCTGCAAAAAATCAATTCACTGTCAATGAGAGTCTTTCTTTGAGAAAAACAGATGATCTGATTCAATCATCTCAGATATGAATATTGACTGTTTTCCTGATTTAAAACCTGCAGGAGGTTTGTTTTTGGGTGAAGGACTTCTGGTTACAAAATAAACAGACGTTTGAAGAAATGATGTTTAGGTTCTGACGCCTGCATTGCCTACACTTTTATGAAGACAAAAACTGAACGTAAACAGTATCCGTCCATTCCTGTCTATTTAAAATGCTTCAACAATATGCTGTGAAACTACACGACCTTCAGTTTCCATCTATAAGGAAAAAGACGTACTGCGTGTGAAGTTTTAAACACCGGTAGAATTCATTTTCATCACTTTATTGACACCATCACTTACTCTTTCTTTTCTATTTTTATGAACTGCTGTAAAAAGTTAATTTCCTGTGTTGGAGATCAATAAAGTTTTTATTTCCACAGATTATCTTCTCATCTGTTTATAATAGGAAACTGCAGAACGACATACTGCACATTTTTACAGTACAGATATCACAAAATTGACTCTTATTTTATATTTAAAACCTGATAAAAAAAAAAAAACATTTAACCTAATCAATTTAGAAATGAAAAGGGAAAACCAAATGTCAAATCTCTGCTTTGTTCGTGTGGCAATTAAAATATAAAATTTGTCCTCATCATTTTTCTTATTCAAAATTTTTTGGGATTCAGCACCCAGAAGTTTTTGTTGAAAGTGAGTTGAGCGTGTTTTTTGTCTATAATTAAATCTCTGCTTCGGACATTTGATCAGTACATGAACACACTGTAAGTGATCTCTGACATCAACGTTAATAGAAACTTAGAGAACCAGAAGGGTTTGACACAACTATCGTCTGTGGCTAGATTTAAGAATAGACGCCACCTGGACGACCCAGAGAGGAAGACATTTGACCCAGATAAAACCCCTGTGATGACGTCCTCATAGACCGAGAAGGTTTGAGGTCTCTGAGCTGGAAACCCTGCTGCCTTAAAAGGCAGGACGCACATTAAATCACCTTTAATCCTTGCTATGAAAAAAAATTAAGCCCATGGTTTCCCATTAAAAAAAACACTTGGGGCTTTGTTTAATAGAAAACTACAGAAAAATGGGGACGCACGCTCTTTCTTTTCGTTTTAGTCAAACCTGAGCCAATGTGTTTAGATCGAGAGCATTTCCAAAGCATATCACGATGACAGTGTATAAGATATGAAAATGTACGAAAAGTAATCAGAGTACCACACACAGCAGCTGAAAATGAAATCATACATCTGTGTTTATTTTATACACATACAAAGATCATAACGTTGACAAAGTAACAACAACAAAAATGTACATGGTGTTAACACCAAAATGTTTCAAAGCCTTCAGCTCTGATATCTCGACATGTTGTTCCGTCTGAGACTTCTTAGAAAACCTTTTCACTCACACGGTCTGTGTTTGTGTCCCTATCTTTTTCACTCGTTGTAGCGTGACAGTTTGAGTCGGGGGATGATGTTCATGGACTGCAGCTCCTGGAACAGCAGCTTGCAGGCGTATGGAATACGCAGCGTGGAAACGTGGCAGGAAGACTTACAGTAGTGACACCTGGAAGAGGAAAAAAAACAAGAATCAGACCAGAAGAATAATGATGGAGAAAGGTTTGTAGAGGTCTAAAGCCCGGCTCACTCTGCAGGATCATCGGGCCGATTTGAGCTCCGATTCTTCCCGACAGTCTCAGGGTCTCTCCCGACTCGAGGCTGCTCGGACCCGATTATCTGTTCAGATTATCTCGTAGAGTGAGCGGTCCAAAGATCCAATCTTAACGGCGATCGTCGGGGACGCCCCGATTTATTTCAAACATGTTTGATATTTAGAATTTAAAATCTTGACGATTACGTCATAAAAGGGTCCGGCAGAAGTTGTGTGTGACTACAATATAATCAGACAAGGGAGGACTGTAGTCATGGCGACCAGCGGCAGGACGCAACCCGGTACAGATCATCAGTGCAGCACTTTTCTGAAACTTGTCTCCATATATCTACGATTGTATCAACTTTTCTATATCCTACAACAACTTCCACTTCCTTCTCTTTCACCAACTGTCGTCCTTTTTTTTTTAAATGAAACTTTATTAACAATTGTCAACGCTCCGTCCCGATTTCACTCGTACAGTGTGAGCACGTCAATCTCAAGATCTGGACGGGCATCGTAAACGATTCAGTCGTACAGTGTGAGCTGACATGACACCCCGACTTTTATACTATCGGGGGGAAAATCGCACCGTGTGAGCCAGGCTTTAAAGAACTAAATTTATAAACAGAATCCATACTGAAAGTGTTCATGCGCCTAAAAACCCGGAAATGGTGTGCACACAAAATAATTAGAATAATACAGATATAATATAATAATTCTAAAAACGTTAGTACGCACACCTGCACGCACTGTTCCCTTTATAAATCACGATCCACCTGGTAAATGTGCGCACGTAGATGAGCCCCATGTTCCGCCCTCTACACGCCCTCATTTAACCATAAACGCTCGACGCAAAGCAGCTCGTCAATCAAAAATGCAGATAAACGAGCGGGCAGATCAAAGGTTTCCAGCACTAGATCGACGCGAAAAACCAGAAGTTTAGACAATGCAAATAACCTTTCTGACTCCTACAGCACCAAAACATCCACCGTTCATCATTACAGTCAGCAGTCTGATATAATTAATCAAAGGTTTCATCAATGAAAAAAAAACTCTGTCTGCTCTTTACTAATTATGAGGATATATAGGTCAAATGATCTTGATAGGGATGCCCCGACTTCATTTCCACACTTTAATTATTTACACAATAAATACGTGCAGGTGATGACGATGTGCTGAGTTACGAGAAGGAGAAATATGTGAAGCCACCGCCGTGTCTCTGTGATCACACCTGATGATAAACATGATATTGAAAGATATTAATAGCAGCTTGTGATCTTTGGTACATGCACGCCTCTGCTCAGTGTCTCCATATGGTTGATACTACCTACCATGCATCCTTGAGGTTCATTACAAATGGTAGAGCTCTGACTCAGTTGTACTCTCGGGTTGGATGGCCCGCTTTGGCGACCCGTAGACTCATACACTGATACATCTTTATATATATCTGCTTCCTCTATATCTGTGTGTTTTTATCATGCAGAGAAGTACTGGA